GTTGGTTGTATAAAGCTAATAAATAATATTTTTTTAATATTTAGTGAGCTAGAAATATGTCCAAGAATTTACTTTAAGTTTTTTATTTACAAGAAATTACTTATGAAAAGAAATCTCCTTATTAAATCACTTTTCTTATAAAGTTGCAGTGAACTTTATTCATTTTAAAATTTGTATTACTTTGTTATCAATATATTGAGGCATTATATAAATAAATATATTTATTATAAATAATATATAATTGATTATCAATGGATTAATAGGCTTGCCAAAGCAATATCTCAAATCAATCAATGACATTTTTATATTATTTATGTTTAAAATGTATTTAAAAAATAATTTAAAATTATATTATATATTTGTAATAATCAGAAATTAATAAATAATTTATTTATACATTTTTAATAATAAAGAGTTCCCTATTATAATTTATTTAAATTGCTTTCTTTGTTTATAAACCAAATACCCTTCAATTTCCCCCTCTTAAATTCCCTAAAAATCCCTGCAACATATTCCTTATCCCTCCCAGACTTTCCATATAACTTAAAAGTATAAAGGATAAAGTCCTGGCTTTGGCATTTCGCATTTGTTTGCAGACCAAGTGTCCAAGTTGTCACCTGCCGGTGGCAAAGGTCACGCCCAGGCAATTGCATTACGAGACCAATTCAAAGGGCTGTCATAAGCAGTTTCCTTTTGGCCAGTGGAGAAATGTCATCCTTTGCTCACTTTATATCCCTGGCCATGCATCATCATTACCAACACTAGTGACTGCCTCCTGCTACCATCATCATCATCATTATCATCCTCGTCGGCGTCGTCGTCGTCGTCAGCCATTCATTGACGACAATTCTATGGGCCAACAACGATTTGTTTTTGCTAGCTGCGCACATATAGTGGGATATATATACCGATTTATACAGATTCTATATATAAAGAGAGAGAGAGAAGGCTTTGCTGTGTGTTTAGGCCATTTCTAAAGACGCTCGATTAATGAGCGTTTTGTATGCGTTGCTCGACCAACGCCACTTGGGTGGTCACCACTTGGACCTCCTTCTCCGCCTCCTCCGCCTCCTTCTCTTCCTCTAAACGGAAGTGAAACCAAAAAGGCGTGGGCTGATCTCTGGAAAGCTTCTATTGGGGGCTGGTGGCAGCAGTTATTGTCTTAGTTTGCTAATGGACAAGATTTGCCAGACAAAGCCTCAGAACGCAGTTAGAGCCATGAAACTGAGCTTAAACATGTATTCAGCATCGAGTGGCTATAGCTAGAAGAGAATTTTTGCAAAAATAGGAACAGTAAATGAATGGGAATTAGGTGTTCTTACTTAAGCTTGAAGAGTGAAACTATTGCAAACTAGGCAGGTTAGATTTAAAACTATATTTAAGAGCCTTTGAATGTAGAATTCTTTATTAAAAGATAAATAAAGCCTTAAGTAATCCGTAAAATATATTAATTTACTCAAAAATAAACCTAAAGCTGCTTTATTTTATTTAGATTTATTGATAAAATTACCAGAAATTAATTGGTTAATTTACTTTCCTCCTTAAAATTCCAACTTTTGAATTAACTTAGTAATTTGCTATGAAAAAAAATCACTCTTTTAATTTATAAAGGTTCTAAAAATGCAAGAAAAATCTAAAACCTTATTAAAAATTAGTCCCAAAAAACTTAAACTAAAAAGAAGAGAAAACCCCTTTGAAATTACTTGGTGGTCGTTGTCTTAATGTTTCCCCAATTGCAGGCCAGTTGTTGTTGTTGTTGTTGAGTTTTGGCCCCCACAACAAACACGCTTGCTGTTGTTGTTGTTGTTGCCGTATTTATTTTTAAAAATTATAATTTTCAAAAATAAAAAGGCCATTTTTCGCTGGCACTCTTTTTGTGTGTTTTTCAGTTGCGGTGCGACGACAAAAATAATGAAAATCACATGTTTGCTTGCGGCATAAAGATTGTTGTTGTTGTATCGTTGTTGTTGTTGTAGTTGTTGTTGTAGTTGTTGTTGTAGTTGTAGTCGTTGTTTTTGTTGTTGAACTGAACTCAGTTGAGTTGAGTTGAGGTTCTTGTTGGGCTGTCATTTGGCGTTTTGCTTTGCTGGCAGCACAAACACAGCCACAACAAGCAGACAGCACAAGCACGAGTGCGAGTATCTTATAGATACTTTACTATATATATATGTATATATATTTGCCTATCTATATAGCATATCTGAAATCCCAACCGAATCCCATTGAAGCGTGCCCATCCCAGCCCCAACATCCCTCCTTCACCTTAGGTGAGTTCAGTAAATGTCACATGGGTTGAACATTTTTGCTATATTCCCACTTGATCTTTTGATATATATGTTGCTGCTGCTGCTGCTGCTCTGGCAATTATGTCGTCGGTTGTTGTCGTCAGTGTAGTATATATCCACACACACCCATGGGGTATATTCTGCCTGCCTGCCTTACATTTTGGTAACAGTTTCGTGTGATTATCTATTTATAGTTTCGGCGAATGCAATTAATTTGCTGTCATTTTGTCCTCTCAAAGTTGTTGTTGTTGTTGTTGCTGCAATTTTATTTCAGTCTATTCTTGATTTAGCCAAAATAACTCAGCACCAAGGAGGCTACACTACATAGTCGAAATTGCTATAAATCAGGTGAGCCAGCAGCAGCAGACATGGCGCTCTCTGTCTCTACCTACAAAGTTACAGGTGATCATCATCATTAAAATCTCCACAGATATTTAGCACTTTGACTTGAGCCAAAGATGTGTTTTTCTTCTTTATATATATGTATACTTTATGTTTTTTTTTTGTATATTTATTTTCGCATACATTGTTTGCCCCGCTAAAAACCTTCACGACTTCCCCACACACACATCTATCTGGGGGCTGTCTATTTCGCGTCTGCGTCATCAACGTCATTGTGGGATCTTGGGTCTGTCTAGGAGCTGTTTATTTAGCTAATAAAAATTAAGCATTTAATTTATTTATTTATATAGGTTTGTGTGCACATGTTGTTTTTTTATTTTTTTGGCAAAACCAACGAGAATTTCCTTTCATTATGAATGAAACGTATTCTCGTCGTCGTCGCCGTCGTCGTTGTCGTCGCCGTATCTTTCGTATTTTTGGCTATGACATAAATTCAGAGCACAACGTCCGTAGCTGAGGCCACTTAATTCGATTAAAAATTGGTAAAAGTGCTTAGCACAAGGCATTTATTAAAGAGTCCAAGTCCCAGACACGAGCCAAACACCACACAGACAGCGAGACCATCGATCAAAAAAAAAAAAATGTTAACATGAACACGTTGGAGTCCGGACTTATCGGTTGAAGAGTTTTTACGCCTCTTTTTATTTATTCTGAGACTCGGGCGACTCGGGCGACTGGGAGCGAGGCGTTTCCGTTAGCCCCAAAAATTAACAGCGAGCAAAAAGTAAATAAACTTAAATATTTTTCGTTCGTTTATCAATTTTTTGTGTGTGCTGCTTCTCCGCCTGATATTTTGAGCGTGTGTCAGCGTGAAAAAGAAAGCAAAGGCATAATAAGTACTACCTGGGGGTCTTATCGAGCCACAAAAAAGAGTATCGATGACGAAACTGCCTCTACAGCCTTTTCTAGATTAAACACAGCCACGAAAAACGAAACGAAAGACGAGAAAAATGTTTAAAAATAGAGAGAAAAAACACTCGTCAAGTGTCCAAAGGTTTTACGACAAAAAAAACTGATTAGAAGGGTTTAGGCTATGAAAGTCAGTCGCCAGCCAGCCATCGAACGACTGATTTGTGAATGGAATTCTCTGTGGAACGGCTTGATCGATTGCTGGATCGATCGATCGATTCGATTCGATCCCATCCAGCCATCCATCGCCATTATCAGTCGATCGAGCGACGGCAGCAGCAGCAACAATGAAACAACTTTATAAAAATTCACATTCTAGAATTTCTCCGCAGATTGGAATACCGGAGGAGAGCAATTTATTTTCAATAAAATGCCACATATTTTGGTGGATTATCTGTCTGGTGCGATCAGTAAATACAACGACGACGACGACGACGACGAGGCCAGACAAACAAACAACTTGAAATGTCAGTTAAACATTTTGTTGGGCCCAGCGAAAAAAATACAAATAAATAAATAAATATACTCTCGTGTGTATAAAAAAATACAAAAAGTATGGAATAAAAAAAAGGAAAATTTATTTGATTTTACTTTGACAGTTAAGGCATTCATATATATATTTATTTTTAGCATTCTCGAAACGAGATCAAAGCAAGATTCTATCTATAGAACGTTTTGTATTCTTCAATGAAATTCTAGATGAATTCTTAATGAATTATTAAGGGAAAATTAAGGAAGGAAACTAAAAGAGGTTTAAAAAAGGAAAAATATCTAAATTTTTAAGAGCTTTGAAGGTGTGAAAGAACCTTTTTTTAAAATAAATACGGATGCAGATTGAAGAATTCCTGAGGGGAAATTTTCAAAAAAATCGAGAAAATGAAATTCAAATGAAAATAAATTCAGAAAATTCAAAACAAAAACAATTTTTGTTTTAAAATTCGAAATTATAAGGAACCCCTTGATCTTTGAAGAGCTCTCTAAGCGTAATAACCTTTTTTGAAATCAAATTTGAAAGATTTGAAATTTTCTAAAACCCAAATAATATTTCTATTTGAAAACAATGTTCCCCTGTTTTCTATGGCATGTTTACAAAACCATAAACAAATCTCCATAAAAATATTTAATGGCCCAGCCCAACATCTAATTCTTCCTGATCAAAAGTACTATATATACGCAGCTGTATGGGGCTATATCTTCCTGTATTATGTTTTATTTCAAAACATTTGTCACGACGCAACAGTCATAAATTAATCACATGGAATAAACACAAAAACACACAGACAGATAGAAGCCAATTAATTTCAGAATTGTGCATTTCCTGGCTATATCTATGTGTCTATATATCTATATCTGGCCGAAGGTTATAGCCGACACAAAACGTGAGTCAAAGTAGGAGGAACTTACTTTGATTTTCAAAAGCAATCCGTGTGCGAAATTCCGTAATTAATCAACATAAATGTTGTGTAATCCTTTTTTTCGATGTTTCAGGTATCAAAAAAATATATATAGATGTTTTTTGTTTTTGTTTAGTATAATCCAAAGTAAGGGCTTTTCGGGATGATTTTTCCGTTTCGAATTCGGTTTTGGTTTTTCGATTCGATTTTTTGTGTCGATTTCGTTTTAGATTTGAATTTTTATCGGTTTTGTGGTCTCAAGATTTTTGCTTGTGTGTATTTTTGTGCGTGTATTTATTTAGCATTTATTAACAATGATTTGGCGCTTGGCTTTTTTTCGCATTTCATTCACAAAAGTAAATTTAATTAACACAAAACGCGAACGGCGACTGCGACTGCGGTGACGCCGGGCAGATACGATTTTTGTTTGATTTTGTTATTACTTTTTTTTAATTTCAGTAATTTCTTTCGGGCTTTTTCGAAACATTTATTTATTTATTTTAGATTTATAAATTATTACTTTGTATTCCTTTTTTTTACAATATTAATAAGAACAGGCGACGCCGGCGGCGACGCTGGGTGAGCGCGCACACGCACACGCACACACATACACTCGAAACGGGGGCCACGTCGTGCGGCGAATGTATCTGTGTGTGCTTCTCGTTTGCTCCGTCTCTCTCTCTCGCTCGCTCGCTTTGCGCTGGTGTGCGTTGAGTAAAAAATATTTTTATGCAATTTTATATATATATATATACAGATATATATATATATTAAGGTGTATATATAAAAATATTTGTGTGCTGCTGCTGGTGCTGTTGTTTGCCGTTGTTTTGTATTTTAAATTTTTTTTTTTTTTTTGTTACTTTTTCCTTGCTCAACACGTTTTGTATTTGAATTTGTAGTTGGATTTCTGTAGTTGAATTTATATTTTTGTGTCGCACGTTGATTTTCTTTGCGCAATTTGCATTTTTAGGCACATGATTTGCATTGGAAGGGTTGCGATTTGGTAAAATATTTCTCAAAATATAAAAACACACACAGGAGAACACTGTTTCGCTCACCACAAATTTTTTGTATTTGTATTTTTATACAATTTTTTTTATTTTTTGACTTGTAATTAACAACTGTAATTGATGTGATTTGTCGTTGTTGTTGTTGTAGTTGGCAGCGGAAAAAAAACTGTGTGCAGAGTGAGTGTGTTGGATCTGATCGAATCGGATCGAAAAGAAAAACTAGACGCGGCGGCAATCGAATCGGATCGCGGCAATCGAACCGCTCGGCACGAGGTTTTGAAGCGAAATGAGGCGAGTATCTTTGGCCATTTTGTGGCGAATAGAGTGAGGCGAGCTAACAGTCCTGTTAACTCTCTGTTATGCTCTTGCCGCAAGAAAATCACTCCACTCAAAGATACAGAGAGAGAGAGCGAGAGAGATCCGGCGAATTCAATTCATAAAGTATTACAGCAGCTACAACGTTCTTGTTGTTGTAAAAGGCACATGGCTGTGAACGATGAACGGCCTTACACACACACACTCACTCAAGCCCCCTCCTGAGACCGCTCCCCCTCCCCACACCCACAAGCCGCCCAGCTAGAGAGCCAAAGAGCGAATGGAGCCAAAGAGAGAGAGTCACTTTTCGTACTAAAAACCAACCGGACGTTGCCGCCCCTTGCCCCCCAATCAGCCCCTCTCCCTACCACACACACTCATGGCCCCCCCGCTCTCGCCCCCTCTCACCCACAAGAGCTGGTGTATTGGTGTGTTTGTGTAAAAAACGGAAATTGAAAATATGCCAACTTGTAGGCGCGCTCGTTCGTGTTCAAGGGGGGCTTCTCGGCAGCAGGAGGGGCAGTGGTAGCGGTGGCGGCGGCGGCCGTCAAGCGGACGAACGACAGCAGGGACGTCCGGGGGTCGAGGCGAAGGCGAATTCATGCCAGTTTCTTTTTCATTCATTTAAATTTAAATGCAAACAGCGAACGGCAAACGGCGCGAGCAGCGCAAACAAACAACACAGCAAAAGGCAAAGGCAAAAGCAGCGGCAACAACAACCACAACGGCGGGTACAGCCGACAGCTGGGCCCCCCGCAATGTGAGAGCCCCGCTCCACTCCCTTTACACCACTCCACCCCTTGGCACCCCACCCAGCCTCTGCTTCTAGCCGCCATTAACCCCATGGAAAAGTTAAACATTTGTTAAAAATAATTTTAGTATAAATTTAAAAAAATTAACTTAACTTATTTATAAAGAATTTGAATAGTTATGGATATTTAACATTTAACATTTACTCCACAAATCTTAACCCACTGAAACACCTTGCCTTATAGGGTTAACAGCTGGCTTGCCTACGCTGCGGGACCCGCGAACCGATACGAACCGAACAAGTTTTCCACGAATGGGTGTGTGTGTGTTGTCGCCGTCGTCGCTTTTCCGGCCGTTGCGTGCATAAACTTGGTAATTTTCCTCGCCGCCAATTTGCCAATCACCTCTCTGCCTCTCAGGCTCATTTTCCATATTATCTGCGCTCTGCGCTTTTCCCTCAATGAAATTTTCCACCTCTTGCATCTGTTGGTGCAGCAAATCAAGTAGAACAACATTTGCAACACAGGAAAAATGTTGTTTTTTTTTTAAGTGTTGCTGCTCTGCCGGCTGCGTCGCGTTGGCTGACAATATGAATGAAAATTACGCACACCCAGCGAGAGCGACAGAGATGGAGTGATCTGGTCTATGCGTGGATAACTCAAGATGTTTCCCCCCATATGGGTGTGAGTGTGTGTGTGTGCCTGGGTTTCCAGCAACTCTCAGGTTTTGTGTGTAAAAGTGTACGTTGCATGAGGTAAGCAAAAGATGTTGTGCCTACGAGTGTGCCAGTGTGTGTGTGCGTGGGTATCAGGTGAGACAAAGGTGCAAAATCATTCACACTTGAAGGTAGGAACTATGATAGAAATTGTATTGTTTTTTAAAGGCAAGAAGAATCTTTGAAAAGCAAGAAGTATCTTTCAGTTGCAAAAAGTATTTTCCAGATGCAAGAAGTATCTTTCAGATGCAAGAAGTATCTTAAAAATGCAGGAAGTATCTTTTAAAGAATATTATACTTTTTTGAAATCGAAAACAAGACTTAAAAGTAAACAAAAATAAAGAAATGATTATAAAAATGGATCAATCCAAAGAAGATCAGTCTGTATAAGCAACTTAAGTCCCCCTTTACAGAGAAAACTAAGGAAACTCCTACTGATAATGCTTAGAGAACATATCTAAAATGTGGTAATATTTGGTAAATATTTTTAAAGATATTTTTGTTATTTCGAAATTCCCCATATATCACAATACGGAACCCATAATTTCAACAGCTTGCAGCACTTGAGTGTGAATGATGTGGAAAAAGCAAACACAACAACACTACGACTGGTTGTTGTTGCTGTTGTTGTTATTGTTGTTGCTGCCTCTGAGCAGAGTTGCCTCTGCAAAGCCATAAAAAAGATACACGACTAAGCGGCGCGTGCGGTTTCCAAGCTCGACAACTCTGGGGCTCGAAATCTCAAAACCAGTAGCACTTTTCTCGACGGCGACAGAGTAAAAAAAAAAGAAAACGAAAAATAAAAAAATATATGAGAAAAAACAGTGGAAAATAAAGCAAAATAATGCTGACTTCTGGAGATTGTGTGAGTGTTGAGCTAATAAGTCAGGCAGGCCTCGGGCAGCAAAAGAGTAAATAAAGATAATCCACAAAGGGAAGTGCAAAAGAATAACCATATTTTACTAATAATTCCCTCAAAAATCTCTATAAGATACCCCGATATTACTGATCCATTCTCGGATCAGCATTTTGATAACTTTATAACTCTACATTCGAGTTACCGAAGCTAAAGGCAAACTGGTTTTCTACGTGAAAATATACACACGTATAGGATCAATTCTACAGTTCAAAATGTGCTCCATAATTGGGGTTCTAGTTGTAGAATTTCGACTGTATTATTGAAATCGGATGGCGATGGGGATCCATGGCGTAGATTAGACTGAACTTTCCCAAAAGGGGAAGTGGATGGATGTTTGTAAGGCCCCCGCCTGGTTACTATGGGGCGTAGTATCTGTGGAATACAAAATAAATAAATGGCATATTCCACCTCGCACACACACACACACAGCTGCAGATACAGATACGTTCGCCATGCAAATTTCGCTCACTCTTGTCGCTCTCCGGCCAAAAAGTATCTCAATCGTTGCCTCTCAACTCTTTCGCCGCAAGACAACAGAGAGAGCGAGAGTGTAAGCCTACGCTCACGAGAGCGCTGGGCTCGCGGCGAATTCGCTGTTCGACTCTCACAGATACAGATGCATTCGCCTTCGTTTTGCCTTCGCCTTCGCTTCGTTTCGTTTCGCTTCGTCTTTTTTATGAATGAAATGAACGCTCCGCGATTATAATGAATGGAAATGGAGGTCTGCCGCCGCCGTCGCTCTGCCAGCGCCAACAGCGCCGTCGGCCTCACTCTGTGCGCAAACACAAAAATTGCCTTTGCCATCCGCGTGACTTTCATTGGCTTTGCAAATTAAATAAGTGGGGAAAACAACAGGGGAAAAATATATATGTACCATATATAATTAAATATTTTCCATTGATTCGGTTAGTGTGCACTTTTTTGTACTCCACTTAATTTTTTTTATATTTTTTTGAGCGCTTAAGGCAGACGTTTTGTTGGACTTCGTCTTCGCCGCAGACGAGGCGTCGCCATAAATCAGCATTACAATACGAAAAAAAACACACACCGTACACATAAAAAATAAAGCTTGCTAAAATCTGCCTACTTATGGTAAATATTTACCATCGTAAATTGTAACATTTTAAGGAATTTTACTATATTTAGATGGGTTTTTAGCATGCAGAAATATTTATTTAATTAATTTTCATGTATATATTTTCATTAATCCCCCCACAATTCATAAAGGGTTTCTTATTTAAAAATCTTACATAAATGAGATGTAAGCTAAGTTAAGAGAAAATAATTCAGATTTAATAGAGAATTTTGAGGCAAATTAAGACAAATAAATATAAAATTAAAAGCTAAAAAACCTTAATACGTTTTAAAACCTTAAAAAAAGTATATTTTCTCATATTATAAATTGTATAAAAATATTTGTTAATTTTATAATACCCAAAAATCTTTCAAATTACTACAAAAAATCGTCTTTGTCATACAAGAAATTCATGAAATACCTTAACCTACAATTTTCACCATTTTACTCTTTATTTTTTACCTAAAAACCATTTAATATATTACTATAGTTTTTTATTCTACACTTTAAACCATATTTTAATCACTTAAACTTAGTTTTTCCATGTGTATCTTTAGCAATTTTTCGATGAGACTGCACAGACTGGCTGGCATAATGAAGTCTTGACAAAATCCAAACGATTTCGTGGGCGTGGGCGTTCCACATTTGGTTAGATCTAGTCACAAAAACTAAGCTAAAATCAAATGGAGAGACATGGAAATATGGAGATGGAAAAGAGACATTTACATAACGCCTCATTTGAGGCAAGTTTTGGGCCGTACAACAAGTTCCTCTGCTCAGGTTTTCCCCCTCCAAAATTCGGGCCAAACTTATATGTTAATCGGAACGGATTTTGGCCCATCTGGAGAATTTTGACTTTCACAATTTGGCCAGAAAGCAAATTTCCTTTTTGCCAGAACAACGGCCAGATTCCGAGTATCTCACAGATAAGAATATGGGTTTATCAGT